CTGCTACAGCTGCTGCTGCTACTGCGACGACTGCTACTAATAGCAATACAAATAACAGTTGCATGATGGCAACCGTAAGACGAGAACAGCGCCAAGGATTTTCTTGATCTCCCGCGCAGGACACCCACATGGCCATCAATTTTGGTAATTCAGCACTTCTATGGTAGATTACATGAGGGTCTACTGGGCTGTTGTTAAGGAACTTTTGTTAAATGAATATAATAAGGAAACCCCATTGTTAGAAAAATACGCTACATCCCAAGAATGTGGTGACTGCAATCAAGTTCCTTAACATCCATCCCCAGTCTATAGTCCCCCTGAAGTAGANNTCTACTTAAGGGGGGCTATAAGGTCCGCAATTTGATAATGCTTCGCGAGGATCATCTCAAAGCCGCGGTTAGGTGCCCTAAGGGTCCAAGGACCCAAATAATAGGGTTTTAGGGCCCAAATACTATAATATTAAGGGTATTTGGGCACTAAAACCCTAATATTTGGGTCCTTGGACCCTTAGGGGTGTTTAGTGGACGGCTGAAACCCTCTTCCTTGTCAATTACTCCTTTCCCGCTGGTATTGAATCCCCGCAAATTTTGAATAATGAGTTCAGGGAGCTAAAATTCCAGACGAGCATCCTTATAAAGGCAAAAATACCTTAGAAGGGGCCGCCCCGCAATGGATTAGGGGGTTCTGGAATTACCAATTAATGATTCACATGATTTTCCATTGAATTTGAAAGGATTTTGCAGGCAGCCTTATCTAGTTCTTTCAATGAATAGCCACCCTCATATTACATCATTTTTCGGGCCGCGGATTAATTCATATTACGTGGGGGGAGGCGGGGGGGGCGTCGTTGAATCTTAGGGGGAAGGGATTCCAAGAAATAAATTTCAACAGGACTCAGTATTCTGCAGGAGGGGATTTGAACCCTAAACCCTTAAACCCAAAAACTCTAAACCCTAAACCCAAAACCCGAAGGCCCTCCTGAACAGCTGGCAACCCCCAAGGCTTAGGTTTTTCGCCTTGGCAAAGGGATTTGAGTAAGACCCTGTAACCCTAGATGAGCCATAGCCTAAGCTCCTTTAGGGGCGTTGCATAGGGCATTATATAGGGGAGTGTTGCGGGGGTTATTAAGAGGGATACTAGGAGTTCAGACTATAGCTCAAATGGAGATGCTATAGTCTGGAAAATAGAGTAAGATTTTTTCCGCCTCTTGGTATCCTTATTGACAACTGACTACACTATTTGCTAACCACCAAACAAGAAGTACTTGTCAGATGGAAGCCAGACACTTTGACCTGGCAGGAAGCTACGTGAACGGTGCCACGATCAATGTGGACGGAGGGGTCTGGATTGGACCCAAGCTGTGAGCCAGAAGCGCCGCAAAAAAGCTCGCGCATTTTTCTAGGAACTTTAGGAGGGACCCCTAATAGGGACCCTTAATCCTACTACCATATATAACCCTTACACAGTCTATATATAACCCCTATATCCTAAGGTAGTCCCCATATTAACCCCCATAAGCCACAAGGGTCCCTATTAGAGGTCCCTCCAAGAGCCCTTAGAATTTTTCTGTACCCCAAGCAGGCGTGAAACCAACATGGGGTTCCTGGTCTGCCTGGAGGGGAGATCCCACATCCCTTTGAAATGTTTATCCCTGGGGTCCCTATTGGTGGATGCCCACTATGAGCCATAATCTAAACTCCTTAAAAGGATTATATAGGGGAGTATTCTAGGGGTTATTGAAGGGGATACTAGGAGTTTAGACTATGGCTCCTGTTACCTTTATTCACATGTTTTACTGTTCGCAACATTACCATCATTATCCCTATTGCTTGGGTACTGCCCCCCTCAGTAACAGTTGGGTAATAAATATAATATGGTGATATATAGCCCTTGATATAGACTGCTACTGGGTGGGGGCAGTACCCAAGGTTTGGGGTTTAGGGCTCCTGAAAGAATTCTCTGGGGCTGCTCAGCCGAGACCTCGCAGAACTTGGAATAAGAGGAGGTTTTAGGGTTTAGGGTTT